CAACAACCTAGGGCAACCTGACTTATTTCAAGGAGTGTTACAAAACTCTCAAAACAAAACTAATTTTAGACTCAGTTAAATTTCAATAATGCATATTAAAAGGACAAGTGCAGAGCTGTCCTGGCAGCTTTTCTAGCCAACTTACTGTGTTAGCTCAGAGCTTGGGTACTTTGGGGATGATGAAATCTCTAGGCACTTGTAAGCTGGCCACATATGACTCAGCACTGAAGGATTTGCTTCAGAGAGAAAAAGGCAAGTAGGTTAGAAGGGTGAAGAGGAGCCCCAAGTGCAAGCAATCATAGTAAGTAGGGAGCTTGAGTGGTTTCCCTCAGAGGCAGAGGCTTTAGTAGCTGGAGACATATTTCCTCCCCATTGTCCCATTTCTAGAAGCAGGTTCACATAACCAACCTCTTCCCCTCCCCCGCCAATTTGGGTGTAGGTTAGGATGTCTACTAGAAAAATTACCTGAAAGGAGGAGAGAAAGCCTCCACCTATATCTAAGCTACCCACCTCCAACTCCAGCCATAATTACAAGTAGAGGCTTGCCTCAGGAAAAACACATTATTTTTTAGAAGTTCTTATATTTTCTGTACTTGGGAGTTTAAATTCTACTTTATTTCCTTCTTGATTTTTTTAAAGCAGAATTTTCCTTTATTAGTGGTACAAGATCAGAAATAAGTATACTTTGAAATTTTTATTTTTTTCTTTTCTTAAATTTTCTCTTTTTTAAAAAACTGTTTTATGTCATTACCCCTTTAATTCTTTTGAGTTTGGAGCTGAATTTAATTCACTGGTTTTGATATTATTTAGATATTTATTTCCTATTGAATTTTATAATTCTGACATATAGATTTGTTCTTTTGAAATACACTTTCATTTCCTTTTTATCCTATTTTGTTTTCTTTTTCTCTCTCACTGAAGTTTCCAGTTTGAAGTTTTTTTAATAGTTTCCAATTTTGTATTTCATTTGTTTTATTTCTGCTTTTTTTTCCTTCTGCCTCTCTTTATGTTCTTTGTGTCTCATTTCACCTGTTCTAATACATCCCTTTGTTACATTTGCAGATGAAGGTTGGTTATTTGATGGTGCTAACTGGAACGCTCTTACTCTTCTACCTGGGGATGTGCAAATGGAATGCTGTTGTTCCTAATTTGCATATGCTCTACGGTTACTTGATAAACATCAATTGTTTAGAATATGGTTTTAAAGTCTCACTTCAGTAAAAGACTATAGCTAGTTCAATTACATATTATGATCAGTCAAATACTCTCATTATCAATCAATGTTATGAAAAGGTGAATGTTGCATGTGAAATAAACTGTTGTTTACTAGGTAATGATGTAGGCAAGGAATTACTAATCTTTGGAGTTGGCCATAAATATGAACCTACAGATATTACAAAAATATCAAAGGACACAACAACTGAATTTGTGAGACTGATCCATAAACATTTTACAATACCTTGTCCTCCTCAAGGGAGATGTCTTCTGGTAAACCAGGCCAGGGAATGAGCTCATTCTCTTGGTGGGATGCAGGAACTCTCTGGTGCAGGAACTCCCACCTGACACTAGTTAGTTCCAACTAAGCAAGAGACCCAAAATCTCCAACCCCTCCAACTCATGAAGGTGCTTCCAAGATTGGACACATACATCTCAGAATCACTGTCCAATACCCTATGATCAGGCAAAGAAAAGCAAAACAAAAGAGGCAGCCAGAGGCCCAATGCCCTAACTACCACATGGAAATACTAACTGTTTAACCAAGGTTGGGAAAGGCTAAGCCTCCTTCCCTACCCTGCCAGGGAAGGGCCTAGACTAATCCTGACTTAACAGATCATCACATGGGAAGAGAAGAGGTTGACAGTAGGGTTATTATCCTTTTTAAAGGCCCACTAAGTCAGTGGCTCTTCCTGTTTAGCAGCCAATAAGAAAATGGCTTCATTATACCCATGGTGCCTTAGTCTTTCAGAACTGAATCACACATGGCTGACCTGAAGCAGCCAGGAGCCTCATCATTTCCAAAGAGGCCAAGCCCTGAGTTAGCACACACAGATGGCCAGAAAACAGGCAGGATGGCGATGCTCATGCCCTGTAACAAATGTAATACTGTCCAAGAGGTATCCATGCCACAGGACTGAATAATAAAGTGAATATTTATTAGGTACATCCAGCAATAAACTCTTTAAATACCTTGTGACACTGGGTAAGACATTTCTCAGATTTTATACTAGACTTTCCTTATACTTCCTTCATATATTTAGTATGCCCTATTTTATATTTTAGCTATGTGTAGCTGTATTACAGCTCACCAACTATTAAGCTCCATGAAGGCATTTTGGTATATATAATAATAATAATAATAATAATAATAATAATAATAATAATAATAATAATAATAATAATAAATATTAGCCAGCATTTGTAAAGCACTTTAGAAATATTATGTCATTTTATCCTCACAACAATTCTAGAAGGTGGATGCTATCATTACTCTCATTTTACAGATGAAGAAACTGAAGCAGACAGGTTAAATGGCTTGCTTAGGGTCACACAGATAGTAAGTGTATGAAGCTGGATTTGAATTCAGGTTTTCCTGACTCTAGGTCCAGTCATCTAGATCCCTCTTCATGATGCTTAACACACAGTAGGCACTTAATAAAGGGTTGACTTAAAGTAACAACCTTATAGGACAAATTTTGGAGCAAAACAAAGGAAGGCTAGCCTATTTTCATACCAAGAAAAGGATTTATAAGTATATTAGATACCTACATATTTTACATTTAATATTTTAGAAGAAAACAAAAAGCTAGCATTAAAATTTTCTCCCTGAACATTTAGTCAAAACATGCAGAACTCATCAGGCTTCCTGCAGTACAGTGAGGAAACACTTTACCTAGACCAGGACTCTTCAAGCTAAGTACCTAAATGTGGCTCTTTGCAGAAAAAAAATCAATCAACCCACAAACATTAAGAGTCTATTATAAGCAAGGCACTGTGCTATTCTCTAGGGATAAAAGCAAAAAAAAAAAAAAGACAGTTCCTGCCTTCAGGAAGCTCCTAAGGGGATAACAACATGTTCTTACGTCAATAAATAGAAGATATAGAGTAGCATCGTATACCAATCTCCCTTTTTTGGAAGAAAAAAACACTCCCTTGTACTTAAGGGAGAGTATGTTCCAGAAATCTGGGGAGGATACTGTACATCAGTCCATGCTATTCTTCCTTAGTAAATATCACTTTGTAAAAGTTAATGATGTTAATTGGTTTGTTGATACTGGGGAGATATGACTACACTATTTTGGGGTGCAAGGAATACATTTCAATGCTAGCTCTATGTTTTCTTCTAAAATATGAAATATGTATACATCAAATATACTTATAATATACATCTCCCTGAACACTTAGTCAAAACATACAGAACACATCAGGTTTCCTAGAATACAGTTAAATACTTACCTAAACCAGATCTCTTCAAGCTCTCTAAGTATCTAAATATGGCTCTTTGTAGGAAAGATAAATAAACTTACAAAAGAAACCAATTATGTTGAACTACAGTCATCAAAATAGTTTTTAAAAAGTTCCTGGACCATAGGTTAAAAACTTATCTAGATTATTTTAGGGATTAAGTGAATGCTTGATGGTTGACTGACCACACTCAATGTCAGTCTTATTAACCGAGGAGGATATCATGAACGGTCCCCAGAGGGGCAAATATTGTTGGGTGTTTTAATGTATGACTTAGATTAAATTTCATGTAAGAATACACACATACTTCACTTTACACAACTGAGGAAACTCCTAAAAAGATAAGGTAGGGGGAAAAGGTAAATCAAGGATAAACCTAATTTTATAATATCTCATTGGTTAAAATGTTTAAAACCATGAAGATATTTTATGTTGATTTTTAATTGATCTTCAATTAGCAGTAAATTTTACCTCTGACCTGTATCAGTGATAACTCCTACAAATCCACACACCAACAGAGTGCTTATAATGAACAAAAAGCTATGCTAGCTGTGGTAGAAAAAATAAGAGAAGGAAAAAGGGAAGTATCTGCTTTAAAGGAACTTCCCTCCTAGTTGTGCATAGACAAAATAGCTATTATGATAGCTAGACCAGTAGTTTTCAAAGTGTCATTTGCATACCCATGGGAGGGGGGTCCATGAGACTCTTTCAAATGATCCTGAAAATCAAAATAATTTTCCTAGTAATTATTGTTCAGTTGTTTCAGTCGTGTCTGACTCTTCAAGGCCCCATTTGGGGTTTTCTTAGCAAGGAAACTGAAGTGGTTTGTCATATCCTTCCCTAGCTCTTTTACAAATGAGGAAATGAGGAAAGTGAGGCAAACAGGGTGAAGTGACTTGGCCAGGGTCACAAATCTAGTAAGTGTCTGAGACCACATTTGAACTCAGGTCTTCCTAACTCTAGGCCTAGCGCTTTATCCACAGTGCCACCTAGCTGCCCTTTCCTAATAATACTAAGATGTTATTTGCTTATTACAATGCTCCTTTCTTTTACAACTTCATATCTACATGAGGCCAGATTTTCTTCAAACAAAACAACAGACTGTAACCGACTGAATGCAGAAGCAAGTATAATAATATGGACATCACCTAGTCAAACCACCTCATTTTACAAATGAAGAAACTGATACCCAGAGGGCTGAAGTAACTTGTCCCAGTTTCATAGTAACCAGGCAAAGACAAGACCACATCCTAGGTCCTGTGACTCCCAGTTCAGTGCTCTGTCCACTGTGTCATTCTGAAACGTATACATAGATTGCATACAAAAAATGCACAATAAATGATAGAGAAATGATCCATCAAAAACCCAGGAACACATAAATTCTGAAGAAGAAAAAACAAACATCAGTCATGGAGCTCAAAGATCACTGGTTAAGTACAGGTACCAAAGAAAAGACTAAGAATGCAAAGTGGATCACAAGTAAAATGAGTCAGCAATTTTACTTTAAGGGAGGAAGAAAAAAAGGTTGCACAATTTACCTCTTTGATTCGTTTAACTAAAGCATTCTGATCAAAGGAAACAGCTTCTGCACACTGATGAAGGTGATCTTGATATCGGAGACAGAGCTGGAGAACTTGTTGAGAGTCTAGCTTCTCCAATTTGGTATTTGTGGGAGATGTCTGGCCACTCAAAAGCCCTAAAAAAAGGGGAAAGAATAAATCGTACCAACAACAGGTTCATGGATCAGGCAGTTGTTGAACGTCTGTAGAGGGAGAAAAAGTGTCATTTATTATTGCTTCTAGAATCAGACAACTCAGTTACCTCTAGACTCAAAACCAAGAGTTTTGGCAGCTGGGGATTTATTGGTTTTCTTGCTTTTAATTTAATTTTTAATGACAAAATGGTTACCTTACCTAATAAAGAGGAATAAATTACACAAGAAGTTGGAAGCTGATGCTAAAAACAAATTAGTAAAGAAATGAACACTCCTGAAGTTCCATCACAGAATTCCTAGGGGCGGGAAGGGACCTCAGCAGCCCTACTGTGACATACTCACCAAGGGCTGCTCCAGCCTCTACTTAAAGGCTTCCAAGGAGGGAGAACCCACCATCTCTCAAGCTGCCCATTTCACTCTTACACAGCTCTAATTGTTAGGAAGTTCTTAAATTTGCCTCTTTTAACTTCCACCCATTGTTCCTGTTTGATTCTGTACTCTGAGGCCAAAAAGAACAAGTCTAATCCCTCTTCCATATGAAAGCCTTTCAAACATATGTGACACTGAGACCATATCTACCCCGAGTCTTCTCCTTGCTAAGCTAAATATTTCCTGTTCTTCAACCATTTGTCATAACATGTATTCAAGGTCCTTCACCATCCTGGTTTTCTTTCTTGGAATCCTCTCTAGCTTATCAATGTTCTTCTTAAAAACTGATGCCTAGAATTGACCATGGTATTCCAAATTAGGACTGACAAAAGCAGAGTACAGGAAGACCATCACCTCCCTATTCCTAGAAGCTGTCTCTCAAGGCAGCCTGTGGTAGAAGCAATACCCTAACCCAACCCGAACCCCTCTGCAAATTAGGCTAGTTTTTTTTAAAAGTCTTAGAACCATCCTAGAAACTTGATTGGCTCAGGGGACTAAAGACTCAGCCTGCTCCCAACAGTAACAAACAGCCACAAGAAGCTCCAGGTACATGCTTTGTTTGGCCAGAGGGCCCCAACAGCAACTCAGGGAAGGAAGCTTTACTCAGCTAAATCAACTTGTGGTGTCCTACGTACAAATCTTTGTTAAATAGCCTTCTCATGCTAAGTAAATATCCTTTTGTTAACTATTACCTAAAAGTGGCTCATTTCATTCTAATATTGAACATGAACTATGAGGTCATAACCTACGTTAGGCTCACCTTGGAACAACTGGTGTAGCTGTGCAAGAAGTGGGGGATGGGCAACACAGAGAAAAGTAGCTTAGAAGTTTCTGGGGGTGCTTTTGGCTCTGCCTACACAGATAGTGGTTATTTACCACGAGGCCTCCTCCACCCCTGGGAGATTAGAGTAAAGTGTATATGGCAGTGCAGCAAGGAAAGACCAATGTAAACATACTCTTTGTCCTCATGAATTGTACCTCAAAGACAATTCAGTAACTTCTCTTTTAGACCCACCAACTGTGGGTCTGGCAGGGAACGGATGCCTTTGTATTGCGAATGATCATTACCAAACTGCCTCAGAGGAGGCCAATGTAAAGAAGGTCCTTCCCACCCATGCAGAAGTTATCCTGGTGTGTGCACGTTTGGTTTTTCGGAACAAGCAGTCTTCAATCCTATAATTGTATCTAGACGTAGCAAACTAGTATGAGTGGAGTGACATGAGAGACCCCACTGAAAATGCAAAACAAGCAAGATCCCTGGAATTTTAGGGATTGTCTAACAACTGTGATGAAGAAGCCATTTGAGTTTTTTGGTTGTTTCTTTGTTTTTAATTTGGCATTTGAAAGGCCAACCAGAAATGTGCTAACAGACTTTGCTCTGATTCTTTGATGTAAGCCACTGGGGGAGGCACTTGAAAGGGCAATACTTAATTCTCCCCAGGAGCCGAGAGACCTTTCTGAAATTGTCCATCTAGAATCTGAGCTTCGTCAGTTTAAACTTTTTTTTTTAAGGAGAATTTCTATTCTCACTTCCAAACTGTGAACTGAAAACTCAACTCCTGTCTCCCTCTCTGGAACGTCCAGGGAGGGGCCCCTACAGATCATAGGACCTAGACACTCTCCTATCCTGTCAGAAATAGCTACTGTTTGTACACAGCAGATAGAGCACATGTACTGGCCCAGAGGAATCTCTGGCTTTGTATCTTTTTGTTTTGCTTTGTGCCATTCTCTTGGCTAGGAAGGCAGATGACCCTAAGCTGGACATTCCCAGTGTTGATGGCAGTCATGAGAGATGGAGCTATCAGGAACTCCTAGGTCCCTCAATGGAATCTCCTGCAAAGGGGAGGATGGCCACTGGTAGGAAGGGGAACCCCTGACCTTATACTACGGTAGGCCAGACATGGCCAGTAATACTACAGCCTGTAGCATCTGGCCCTACCAATAAGAGGGCAGTCAGCCTCAGCAGCAGCAGTACGTCCAAAACTGCTAACAGGCACAGAAGGGCAGTGGCAACACAGGCCTGCAGGAACATTCTAAGTAGGAGGCTCCATCATAGGGCTTAGCATAAGAGAACAAAGTCAGCCTGTAGCATGAGAAAAGGTTCTGCTCAGCACTGGGCAGTGGTAGCTCCTGAAAATGGCACAGGGGGTAGTAGGAGCCCAGAGTAGACAATGTGATGAGACCCAGTGGCAATGGAAGCCAGGTGGCACAGACGCATGCCCCAGAAGCAGTGACTGGCAGGAGCAAGTGGGCAGAGGCCCAGGCCCAGGCCCACCCAGTTAGCAGCGGAGGGGCAATGAGTGAACATTAGCACGGGCAATGGCAGAATCAAGTCCACTGTAGCCTATCGCTATTATATCCGTGGCTGACCAGCCCCTCCACATTGTTGCTAGTATAATACCTCCAAGAGGTTGCATTGTTGGGAGGTGATTTGTTTTCAGGCACAAGGGACTGGTATCTACACAAATCCTACAGAAAGGAAGAAGCCCCTCAAATGGGGAAAAGACTTCCTCTTTTACAAATACTATCTCATTTTATCCTCACAACAACTCTGGGAAATGAGTGAGACTATTATCCCCATTTTACAAATAAGGAAACTGAGGCAGACAGAAGCTACATGATTCGTCGAGGGTCACACACTAGTGTCTGGAGCTGGATTTGAACTCAGGTCTTCTTGACTCCAGATCCAGCATTTTCTCATCTGTACTCCCTGGTTGCCTCTAGGTACATGCTGATGGTTGGCTGGGTTTCCCACAAAGGGAAACTCAGGCAAGGAAACTTCAATCAGCTGAAACCACTCGAGGTGTCTTCCCATGCATATCCTTATTAAATATGCTTCTCCAGTCAATGAGTCCATTAGTAAGCATTTATTAAGAGGCACAGGGAAGTACATATGCTTATCAACATTTGAGAGGAATAGCTAGTACATTCAATGACATAGTTGAGATGCAAGAAGATTCTGATAGCTGAGAGTACTGGACTGAACCTGATAAGATTCAGTAGAATAGGACTAAGTGTAAAGATTCACATTTTGGTTCAAAAAAGTCAATTTCACAAGTACAAGATGGAAGAGGCAAGGACAGGCAACAGTTTGTTATAAAAAGATCTGGGGGTTTAAGTGGTCTGCAAGCTCAATGCATCAGCAGAGTAGGATGGCTGCCAAAAAAACTAACACGATCTTGGACTGCATTAGGAGACACAGCTTCCAGGAGTAAGGAGGTGATAGTCCCTCTGCACTCTGCCATCCTCAGTCCACATACTTAACAGAGTACTGTATGAGAAGGCAGTGAAGTAGAGTGGAAAGAGTCCAGGACCAGGAGGGAATAAGGATACCTACATACTCATTTAGTCTCTGCTGCCCACCAGTTTGTATAACCCTGAGTGAGTCCCTTATTTTGTTGGCCTTGCTTTACCATCTGTAGAGATGCTACTAGCACCGGTGACAGGGTTATGGTATAGAATGAAATGAAATAATGTATGCTAAAAAAGCTGTTAATCATAGAGCATGTTACTTTTGTAATGACTTGTATTTTTGCAAAAAGAAGTTATCTCCCCCTAAATACACTGTAAGCTCCTGACAATGTCTTTGACTTCTATCTCTTCTGTCCTCTTAGAATAATATAGGACTACAGAAAATGTAGGCATTCAAATGTTTGTATAATGTTGAATTCAAAGTCTGTTCTAACAGATCCTGAATGTTCAGGATTAGAATTTATATATTCTATATGTTGGAAATATTTCTTAATAAAAACCTTTAGAAACTATTGTGTTTATAGAGAAATAGGGAAGTAGGGGCCAGAGAGAGGGGAGGAGAACTAAAGAGAAGTATTCTACAGATTCAATAAGCCATAATTTATACCTACCTCTTTGTGTAAAGTGTCGGATGGAAAAATCATCAGGGTTAGTCAGATTTTGGAAAATATTTTGCTGACCAATTCCTCCTCCTCTGAAATGTCAGGTAGAAAAAAACCTACGGTTGTTCTAACACAAAGTACAGACCCATATATGTGCTAAGCCTGGCTCTTACTGAGCACAGTTCTTTGACTCTAGGAGGCCTATCCAATTTCTGGGCTGGGGCTGTATCATAAAAGTGGTAGGACTTACATTTTTGTCGTATAATAAGCATCACTTCTTTCCAAAACAGAATCAATCTTATTTTGGAAAAAAGCTATTATAAAGACACAGACAAAAGAATTTGTGAAAAACATACTCTGGCCTGACCCTACTCATAAAAATGATCCGAACAATTATTAAGTGATTTCCTTCATTTGACTAACACTTACTGAGTACCCAACGTGCTATTCCACAATCAATTTTACTTATAAGAGAACACACACACACACACACACACACACACACACACACACACAGACATTCTTGTATCCTGATGCCTTGGGAGTCTGAGGGGAGATGGGCTCTGGAATTACAATTTCATTAGTGTAAGAAAATTACTTCTACCAAGGCAGACCAACAACTGTTCTGGACCTCAGCTTCTTAGAGTGGCCGGGGACAATAAGAAGTCAAATGACTTGACCAGGGTCATAAAGCTAATC